CCATAATATGTATGTTGTACCTGTATCTAACTGCTGAAGTTGTGTTACAAACAACACAATTGCACTGACATTTACAACAAGGGTTTATTTTACCCAATTATTTCTCAGTTACCCATTTGTGGTTTCATTGGCTCTCAGTTGCTATACATTGGGCAATGTATGGGCTTGGCTCCAGACCACAGTTCAGCTCTTTTTTAAAAATATATTTTATTGGTATGTGACCTTCTCATAGCTTCTCATATGAGCACTTTCAGCAGTTGTAGCAGAAATGTGCTTCTTAATAACTGTGCTTGGAACTCATAAATTAGTACTTTTGCAATTAAATTATATTATCTAAACAAGTCACATGGCCAACCTTGTTAATTTGCTGCAAAGTATACTCTTCTCATTGTGGTCAGAGAAAAGAAATGTAGATTCACTGAGAAATAATCTAATCTACAATAACAGCCATAGAAACAGGTGCAGAAGGGAGGAGTGTCCCAGCAGTTGTGACCCTGTGGGGTGTGGAAATGTCAGAGGTCAGAGTATGACGTATCCACACGCACTGCAGAGCCACGCTGTTCCTCATATCGCTGCAGTACTGCCAGGTACGTGTCCTTGTGTTTTAACTGAATTAATTATCAAATTAATAGAAATATCATTTCATGATTAAAAAATTCTCAAATTTAAAGTACCAATTTTCAATACATGTAAAGAAATAAACAGAAACCATCACACTCTTGAAACCATCACACCAAGTGAAATGATCAAAGACAATATTTCCAAAAAAACGTGGTCAGGCTTGTTTGGATGACCTTGGGAAAATGGTGACCTTGTGCATGCGGTTAGAGCCCCATCACCTCCACAGCTGCTTCTCTGACACACAGTGACTCTGGCAGCAGCACAGGGAGTGAAGAGTCCGTCTGAAACGCCCTGCCCCACAGGTGTGCAGTGTGGATAACAGGAAGAGGAATAAACAAGGTATGGGATGGGGAATGTCTTTGAGACCATAAAGACTGATATTTTATTAAATTAGGGGAGAATTTATCCACATTGCTAGTTTTCACACCAACTTCACATCTCCGTCCAAGTATCACACTCCCAGTGGGTCCCAACAGAATTGCAGTTTCCTCTCAGGATGGCACTCCCAGTTATTCTATATTTGTTCAAAATGACTTCGATTTATACCTCCAAATACCATATATTTTAATATTTTCTGCCTTACACCGCACATATTTATTCTAGCAAAGTTGTGAAAATTTCCGGGCTCTAGTAGTCATTGATTTTAGGGTTGGAGAGGTATGGATATGTGATAATATAAAATGACTTAAAGAAGCAGGTTAATATCTAAGTAATATGTTTAGGTATCATTGTAACTGAAAATCACATTTTGTCTGGTGGAAACAATTCCAACCAGGTGTATGTTAAAGGTTGGGAGTATGGTGTTAATGGTCTCAGAACAGAGGGGGAAAATATTCTGTCATAAAATCAGAAGCAGCAGTCCACTGAAAATTCATGCCTCCGTGACATTCCTAATCTTTCAATATTTTTAACACTTTGAAATATAACAAACAAATCCCCAAATAAACTGGTTTTACTAGGGAGAAATGATAATTACTTTTGAGTAATTACCTAATGCACAGGTGCAAATATATCACATTTTGTACAAAACCTACATTTCTTAATTTTATCAACATTGTGTATTTTATTTTTTTCCACAAATTAAACTCTTTTATTCTTTCATGGGCTGATAAGACACATTCTATAAAATTTGAATGACAGAAACCAATATATAAAAGTATCACAAAAGGTGGATGGTAATAGAGACCAATGAACTAGAATTTCTACCATAGAGCAGAAGAAAACCCACAAGATGTGCAAACACCCGCAAGCTGTCTGATGATGTAAAATTACAGGATCTCATCTGCATGTAGGTTACCCAGCATTTTCTGGATAATACAGAAGATTGCTGTATAAATTACTTAAGTAGGCTGTAATTTCCTTAATATGAGTTGATCTCATGTCAAGAAATGTCAAAATTTCAATTTGAAATAGAGGCAAATCTGTCTTTAATGCACCTACCTTATAGTTCAAAGATGCAGACTTACAATTTATATAGTTTACAATGTGTTTGTTTTATTACTTGCTTAAAATGAACTGCTCTTTTTATAGTTTCTTTATAACATGAGCACCTGTCAATAAAGTTTGTTTAAAAGATTCTTTTTCAAACGGAATGGTGATTCTTTGTCTATTTATGCTTCAGAGTTTAAAAGGCCTTGTTTCCACTATCCTATAATATTTACTTATTCTGACAGTTTAAGAAAAGTGTGAAAAAACAGAGAGGAAGATAACTACACAAGGAATGGCAGCATACCTGATACCTGTGACTAGATACTATTTTGAGTGAATATTTCCATGACCACTCATTTTAGGTTAATTCATACAGTTAAGCCAATTGCTTACAAAATAAAAACATCAATCAGATTATTGTTTCTATCTTCAACGCTGTAATAAAAATAATCTCCTTGATACCATAAATACATTTCTTTATTTTATTTGTTAAGATAATTAAGAACTGATGGCTTAAAAATTAACCTCAAAACTTTAAATAGCTTATCCTTTTTCTCTCAAAATAAGAAAACATCTGTTAACCTTTTCCTCCTCAATGGACAGGCATGTCACATTCTTAAGGAAAGTTGTTTGTGGTAGATTTTTATTCTTTTCTCCTAATGAAATGCTTGTTTTTAAGACTATACTTTCATTCCTTAATTTTCTAAACTCAGTTATGCTTCTAAGAATATAATAGGTAATGAGTAAGAAGATTGCTCACAGGACTTTCAAAAGTTGCACTTGGAAACTGACCATATGGGTAAACATATTTCCCAATGATACCTAGGACAAGGGTTTGATCTCCAAATATATATAAAGAACTCACACAACTACACACCAGTAAAACAAACAATCCAATTTAAAAATAGTCAAAGGACCTAAACAGACACTTCACCAGGGAGGACACACAGAGGGCTCAAAAACATATGAAAAGATGCTGAGCATCACTAGCCATCAGAGAGGTGCAAATTAAAACTACAATGAGATACCACTTCACACCAGTCAGAATGGCCCTCATAAACAAATCAACATAACACCACATGCTGGTGAAGTTGTGAAGAAGAGGGAATCCTAGTGCACTGTTGGTGGGAATGCAGACTGGTGCAGCCACTGTGGAAAACAGTATGGAATTTCCTCAAAAAACTAAAAATGCAACTGCCTTTCGATGCAACAATTCTGTACCTGGGATTATACTTTAAGAATCCTGAGACATCAATTCAAAAGAACCTATGCCCCCTAATGTTCATAGCAGCAAAATTTACAATAGCCAAGTGCTGGAAGCAACCTAAGTACCTATCAGTAAATGAATGGATTAAAAAACTGTGGTACATTTGCACAATGGAATTCTATGCAACAGAAAGAAAGAAGGATCTCTTACCTTTTGTGACGATGTGGATGGAACTGGAGAGCATTATGCTAACTAAAATAAACCAGGTGGTAAAAGACAAGTACCATATGATCTCACCTATAATTAGACATTAATCAACCAAGCAAACAAGTGAGCAACATAGAACAAGAGACATGGAAATAAAGAACAAACTGACAGTGACCAGAGGGGAGGGGAGGAGGAGGATAACGGGGGGAAGAAGGTAAATAGGCAAGTCAAGGAACAGCAATAGAGGACACATGGGCACAAACAATAGGGTGGGGATTGACTGTGGGAGTGGGTGGGATGGGGTAGGGGAGAGTAATGGGAAAGATGGGGGGACCACTGTAACTGAACAATTTGAAAAGTAGGATTTCTGAGATTTTATTTAGAAACTATTTCTACCAGATATTTATGTTTTGAGGATAGATTGTATAGGAAACATTAATAAAGAGGATCAATAAACTGTAATCTAGTTAGTAAAAAAAAAGTTGCACTTGGAACATGTAATAAAACCATATTATAGAATTTCTTTTTTAACTTTCATAAATGCAATTTTATTTTATGTTTTTATTTTTCATTTAGAGTCGATATGTAGTGTTATTAGTTTCAAGTGTGCAGCATAGTGATTAGAAATTTTGTAACTTATAAATATCCCCAAGTTTAGTACCTATGTGGTAGTATATATAGTTATTTCAATATTATAGACCATATTATCTATGCTTTACACACCCATGACAATTTTGTAACTACCAATTTATACAATTTTCTTTAATAACTTATACTTAGCAAGGTTGAATAATAATAGGGCTTTTGTCATTTACAGCATATATTTCTATGAAAATACTGACATCTAATTATAATTGGAGAATGAATTGATGAATAATACAAAAAGTAGTAATTTAATATTTTAATCTATTATGGTATAGTACAATGTTGTTTACTATTTTCTTCTTCACAGAGGCATTTTTTATTAAGGGAAATACAAATCACTTATAATTAAATGCATCAATTATAAAACAAAAGCAGAGAGATTGAGAAGATAAATTTGGGATTAAAATTTGAAATAGTCACCATAAATGGAAAATGTAGACATTCTTCACAGTGCTAGTGGCAAATATCATTAAGTACCTATTGATAATGAAATTATGATTTTACATTTTTTTCACTATACAAAAATAAAATTAGGCAATGCCAATATTTAGCAACCTTGTCTTAGAGTAGAACTTTAACATCTAAGACACTCTTAACAAGGCCTAAATTTTCAGTGTTTGTGATTTTTAAGATGGAGGTAAGTTAACAGTGTGGGTGGTCAAGTATTTGGCCCCACAAATCTTTTAATATGAACACAATTTCTCAGAGGAACTTATCAATGGACAAACTAAATGAAACTCTACAAGCGCACAGTCTCCTAGATTCTGGAGGTGTGTGATGAGATGAACCATTTTTAAAACTGCCCAAGTGTAAGAATTTCCTGCTCAGCCTTTGAGTGACACACTGATGAGAAATCTACATTTTTCTAGTTTTGCTTCATTCTCAGTCCTCAGGGGGCAGTGTGTGAGGACCACAGACATCGTTTCTTTCCAGGAGTAACCTGGTCTCCCATAAAGGATGCACGACTTTCTGTCTTCCAGAGGTATGTGACTCTCATGCTCTCTACTGAACTAATTCATTTAATGGGAAATTACAAATGCTACATGTGATGCAGCTGAACTACAACTAGTACGCAATCATAAAAGAAAACATTGGTATGCTTTCCTGTATAATTTAAGGTAAGAAGAGTAAAATATGAAAGACTTTGGAGAGTATTTTAAAATACTCAAATTTTTGCCTGTGAAAAATTACTAATGAACATACACACATGCATATTTGGGTTTGAAAGTCATTTTAACTTAAATGAAAAGCAGTGAGCATCAATACAAGGAACTGGTAACTTTGGATTTTGTAATTAATAGATATAATTATATATGTATATTGCTTTATATTTACTATAGACTGTAAAAATAGAAGTGAATTCTTACAGTAAATTCATCATATCATAGAGGTCAAACATAATTTCTCAAACATGCACTTTGATTAAATAAAAGCAGTTTGACTTGTCATAAAAATTAGGGTTTAGTAGCCTCTGTAAAATGCTTAAAATAATCTAAACTATAAATGATCTAAAGATTTTTAGAAATTGAACAAAACAGTGCAAAAACCACGGTGCACTGAAAAGAGACTCCTGACATTTGAATTACATTACATGTCTGATATAAATAAAAATGGTAATATGTCTATTGTGTTTTCTTAGTTAAAAGGAGTAATATGTTGAAAGTTTATGGATGTCAGATTGAACATTATGTTTTCCATGCATTGTATCTTGCACATTTTATTCCCAATTTAAGTAGTAAACTGAGTGGGAAGACACTATTTTTAAAAGTCAGACGTTGTCAATTTCAAAGCGTGTTTAATCCAGATCTCACCGACTGCAGAGCCCAATGTCTGTGTTACATTTGCCAGCGCACTGAAGCTGCCTTCACAGACTGTGACAGCTGCAGGACCTTCCTGCACTTTTGCACCAACAGTGTTCCTCAGTAAATGGTCTACAACACATTTATTGATCATGTCATGGTTTCATATCTTCACCGTTAAATAAACTGTAAGTTACTTGTGTAAAGAATGTTAAAAATTGTTTATGCTTTATTGCTTTTGTTATTTATTAAGCTTTGGATAACTTTAGTGTGTCGTGCAACATTTTTAATAGGTGATGTATTTCATTAAAATTTAAATGATTTCTTGGAACTCTACAATTATTCAAAATAAAATGTTATTTGATGGCCCCTCATCTGTCCTTTTACTAAATAATTGTGACTAAATTAAATAAAATAATTGCAGTTAATTGCCATATATGTAAACACTACTAGTCCCCCAACTTTAGAACGCTCAGTCTTTAAACATTAGTGGATTTAAAAATTGCCATAAATAATTGATGCAGTGTTTTTTTCATACAATATTTTAATTTTCACAGTTATTCTTGTTTCAGTGGAATCTGACTTTAATAAAGATATTATTCTGAACTACTTTATTCTCCACTAACAATACTACTTTTCATTAATTCAACCAATAATATCATGTCAACAAAAGAATAAAATTTTCAGAACCATTATTCTATTATGAAACGTTTAAGTGCCTAGGTCAATTAGAATAAGACTTCACATTGGTCAAATGCAAAGTGAGTACTGTTTCTTATCTCACTCTCCACCCACATTGACTCTCAGAGGGATCTTGTTGTTATTCAAATCACATATTAACACTGAAGCACTGTCATCATTGGCACCACCCCTGACATTTCTCAGCTGCAGAGATGGATCTCCAACGAGAAAACGACTCAGAACCAAATGCGGCTGAGGACCCCAGGAGACAGCAAAGGGAAGGTAAGGGCATGAAAAACTCTATTTTACAAATAGAACAGCAAATGTCCTCTGTGGAAATAAAATTTCAAATGCTTCTGAAGATCTTCAATGGAATGATAAGTCAGACCACTGCAAAGGTGGCACATTTAATAGACACACAGTGTAACTGTTCTAGGATGTACAGCGGCATGCAGAAGTGTGGGGCATGGGGTAGGGAACTAACTCACATATTTCCCCCTTGTGAGGATCCGAGCTTAATGCTTCAATACAGTATTCTAACATGAAATCTGAGGACTGATTCATTCAGACATCGTTGTAAGGTGTAGTCTTTGACCAACAACTCATGGAGCAGTTATTTCCTGAGAATGCAATGGCATTTTCTGAGGGGAAGACTACAGCGGTAGACATGCTTTTTGAGGAGGTTCAAGTTTATTTGTATAAATTCCTGTGCATGTGGGTTCTCCTGTATGAAATAGGAGATTCATTATCTCAACAGCAGGATATTGTCTGAACAATATCTCCATTTTTCTTTTTTCTGGCTGCAGATTTGCCATCACCTCCAGACAGGCTCATTGCTGGCATCCTGGGAGTCATCTGCCTTATCCTGATGTACACTGTACTAAGAATGGTACATTTTATTCCCTGTAAGTTTTTGAAATATTTTAAGAGAATTTGTCACCTTAACAAAACTCACTCCTTCTAAACATTTTATAATATTACAGAATAGAACTCTCATTTTAACGTAAGCATTTAGATAACTGCGAATGTTATTCTGAATTTGTCAAATGCATAACAGAATGATTGTCGGGAGCACCTTACATATATTTATACATTGTGATGTCACAACTTAAAAGCATGCTGTAGGACATTAAAAGACCTTCCTGAGAAATACAAATTAATTCTTGAGATTGTTTAGACCGATATTATAATAAATGATAAAGTGTGACCCTACAATCTTTTGAAATATTCTTTCCCCGAGTCTTCATTATTTCATTACTTTTCCTTGGTTAAATCAATTTTATTTCAGATTTTTCTGCTCCTAAATGGTACACCAGATTTCAAACTAAAACTATGCTTTGACCGGGGTAGCTTAGTTGGTTGGGCATCATTTTGCAAAGGAAAAGTTGCCAGTTCGATTTCCAGTCAGGGCACATACCAGGGTTGAGGACCGTTCCCCAGTAGGAGCATGTAAGGGAGGCCACCAGCCGATGTATCTCTCACACATTGATGTTTCTCTCCCTTTCATTCTCCTTCCCTTCCCTGTTCTATAAGAATACATAAATATAATATAATTAAAAAGAAACAAAATTTATGATGATTTATTTTTATCAATATTAATTTTGTTATAAGAATCACTGTAAATCTTTCTAGGTACTATAGAACTGGAGCGGAGCAATCTGTCTGCACTAACAATGTTGGAGAAAGGTACAATATGATCTTCAAAGTTCTCTCATTAGTACAGCTTATATTTTTCTCTATTTTAGGGAAGGTAAGAATATAATTTTATTTTTAGGAGGAGAACATAAACTATAGAATATGACAGTAAATGTCTACAAATAACAATGGTAGAAGAGTGTTTCTTGTTATGCAACGATATGAAGAACTATATATTAAAATTGCCATGCCCCGCCCTGGCTTGGTGGCTCAGTCTATTGGAATGTAGTCCTGTACACCAAAATGTTGCAGATTCAATCCCCAGTGAAGGCACTTACCTAGGTTTCGGGTTCAATCCCCTTTCAGAGCATGTATGGGAGGCAACCATTTGATGTTTATCATATCATGTTTCCCTCTCTCTTTTCCTCTCTTCTTAAATCAATAAGCATATACTTGGGTTAGGTTCAAAATACATGAATAAAATAAAATCACCATCCCCATTGTTGCCAATAGGCTCCAATGTCCTACTGCTCTAATATGATGAGACAAATAACATTGCTATTCCAAAAAAAAAAAAGTGGTTTCAATCATTGACTTCCTAGGCATAGAAAGTGGATATTTTTGTTTATGTGTGTGTTTTTATATGGGCACATAAATTAGGGGATGAGAGGTGACCCTTCTCCTTCAGTGTGCACATGAGTGGGTGTTTTGTTTTCTATCTTGAGCCTGTGAGTGTGCATGTAGTATGCACATATATGTATATACTTATGCATATATGACATACATGTAAGTTATTTTTTTAATTCAAATTGTCTTTGGTTTAAAATTTCATAATCTCTCTTCAGGATATCATTGTGGTCAATGTCCACCAGAGTGGTTAATATATTCCAACAACTGCTATTACATCAGCACTGAACAAAAAACATGGAATGAGAGTTTGATGGCTTGTGCTTCTCAGAACTCTAGCCTACTCTATATAGATGATAAAGAAGAAATGGTAAGAATTCCAATGTTTCCAACAGTTTATATAAAAAACATTTAGCTTGTGTCTGTAGAATTCATTCATTTGTATGCATTTTTAGTTTATTTATTTTAAAGGCTGTTAATCTTTTATTGTTTGAATCTATAATAGTTTATTTATATTATTTATATTTATATTTATTATTATTTATATTTTCTGCCATTAATGCACATTTGATAATTTCTAGTTCTTGCCTTTCATTGACAACCATGCTTCTATGAATGCTTTTTTCTAAAGTAAACCTTGCTACTTAATTTTACCATGTATTATGAAAACTGAAGATACCATGTTTGTGCTTATTACAAACTGAAGCATCTCAGGTAATTACAAATTAGATCATAAAATAAATGTTGCCAGTCTACTCCAATGCACTCTCTCATAACCTCTCCTTCCTCCTCACTTAGGTGCTATTCTGTTATTCTATATTACAAATGACCTTTGCTTAATTTTGAACTTTATATAATGGGAATCATTCATCATATGTGTTATATGCCTCTTTTAATTCCCACATGATATTTTCACAATATATCCCTATTATTTCATGTACCTACAGTTGGTTAATTTGCATTGCTGTATTATATCTACATGACATTTTAAATCTATTCTAATCAGAATATAGTTGTTTTTTAATATGTGGATATTATGAAGAATTATTTTATAAAAATATTTTTCTTCTAATATATTTGTCCTTCTTACGAATATATTGTGTTGAATAATTTATTATATATAAATGTTTTACATAATATAAATTTATATTCAGTAAATATATTAATAATAAAACAATAATTTATAGATATATTATTATCATTGTATATGTGTTTTATTATGATGTATTATCCTGTTTGCGTCAGAATGAAATTACAGTGTCATAAATCTATGTATATGCCAAGTTTATTCGATTATCTCAGCATTTTCTAGCTTATTGTGTAAATACACATTTTATCCAATAGTTTCATGATCCAAAACTTAGTACAGCTAGGAATTTTAATGTCATCATTTCTAATCATTATATGAAAGTATTATTATAACATTAATAGCCATTTTTCTGATTACTGGTAGAACAAACACATTTTTTGGAGCACTATTCTTTATGAAATTCTCTGTTGTGAAAATGAGAAGTGCCTGTTCATGTTTCTTGACCATTTCTCTTATATCTTGCCTGTTATTTTCCTTCCTAGCAATTGTTATAATTTGGATATGACTCTTTCTTGAAATTTTAAGATTCAAATGGCTTCTTAACTGTTCCTTACATTTTTCTTCTCATATTGGAGTCTTGTAATAACCAGGATTTGTTAATGTTACCACAGTCCAATATCTCATTTTGGGTGTTAGTGATTATTTTGCACATGTATCAGAAGTTAATCAAAATTCATAAAGATATCTGCTACATTACTTTTTAAGGTTTATCTGTTTTCTTTATGAATTAACTTTTACATTTAGGTCTATAATAATTTGAGAATTTATATTTTCGTGATGCTGTGCTCAGCTCATGATGTTGTGTGGTAGGAGTAAAGTTTATACTTTTCTACATCATTATCTAATTGATTAAGCATGATATGAAAATTGATATTTTCTTCATAAATAACTTAATATATATTTATATATTTAACATGAAATTTTAAAAGTTTATTTATTGTGTCTCAAAAATTATTTTCTGCCTTCTGTCTATATTTATTCAGGCAATTTTATACCTATTTTGGTTTTCTTGATAAAGTTCTAAGGATCTTTAGATCTGTTAATCTATTAGGCTCTATTAATTCTTCTCTCTTTCCCTCTGTAGCCTCAGCAATTAACAATTTCTATTAATCCATCTTTAATTTCATCAGTTCTTTCTTCCGCATCTTAAAATTTATGCAAATGTACCAAAGCTTTTAATGATGGTAATTCATTTTTTAGCTCAGAATTTTTATTTGTTCATTCATATATTTTTTATTTATTCATTGTTCTTTCTCTGCCATTATATTTTCCTATAGTTATTTGAACATAGGTTTTTAATAGTTTATATAAATATATATTTATAATAATTACTATAAAATATTTTTCTAATGAATTCAACATCTTATACACGTAAAAATTAGTTTTTATCCACTGATTTTTCCCATGAATATGGAAGACATTTGTCGGTTCTTTGCATGTGTTCTAATTTTTGTAAATACACATTGTTGATGGAATAGCATAAAAAAAATGGATTCTCCTTCTTCTTTCTTAGGTTTATATTGTTGTATTTTGAGTAAACTCTTATTGTAAAATCTTCTGTTTGGAAGTGTGCTCACTCAGTGTTTAAAATTCTCATTATTTATTTTTATTTTTAGCCTGGATTATTAGGGATTCCCCTTGTGTGTATAAAGCTTAGTTGACTACCACCATTGATTTTAAAAATGTATGAAAAAATTCAAGTCATTGTGGCTTCCTCTTTCCCTTGTACTTCAGTGTGTGTGTGTGTGTGTGTGTGTGTGTGTGTGTGTGTGTGTGTGTTTAGGGGATTGCTCATAACTTTGAAAGCAGTTCTCAAGTCCCCTTTGGCTGTTTCTTTTTACTGGATCCTCTTTGTTTCTTCTGCCCATGTACACCTTTTTTCTCCATTAACCAAACACATGTAGAGAGTTGCTATCATCTCTTCTATCATGCTACTATTTTTTAACACCTTTATGTTATATTTGTGGTGGGCACTGTGTTTGACACAATTGAGAGCTTAAACTTGGGCTAGTAAAAGAATGGTTTGCCTCTTTTGGAACCTAGTAAATTCAACACTTGGAGCTGAAAAAGCAGTGGGAAATTGAGCAACCCCTTCCACTGCTAATCAAGTCTGCCTTTATGGCAACAACACCAATGATATTTGCAGCATTCTACAAATTTTATAAATTACAATTCTTACTCACTGAGCTGAGACGAAGATGGGGGTTTGTTTGGAAGCAGTCCTAATTTGAAGGGCTGCAAATTTGCTCTGTTTTTACTTTAATCTCTAGCAGCTTTTCCCAATAATAAGTACTCGTGCAATTATTAGTCTTTGATCAACTTTCAGAGCTGTGATGTTATAATTGTCCCATTGCCTTCTTCACTTAATCATACTAATGCATGTTCTTAATGTGTCCAATGTGTAACAATATATTATAATTTGAAAGATTACAATTAGAAGAAATCAACTTTATTTGTTTTTTTCATTTGTGAGATCATATTTATTTTGGTGGGAAATATACAATTTACTCAGTTTCTTAATATCTTATTTATTTATTTATTTAATTTGTTTTTATTTGAAGTATCATAGCTAGCCATATAAAACCTTGCCTTTATCATCAAACTGCTATATAAGAACATTATAAAGTACAAATTATAAACTAATGTAATCCTCTTTACAGTATTCATATTGGTACATTAAAACAACATTGACATATGTCCAGGACAAGTAGGTTAGCTGGTTAGAGCATTGTCGAAATTCACTAAAGTTGTGGGTTTGATTTCCTGTAAGGACAAATACAAGAAGCAACCAGTAAATGCATAAATAAGTAGAACAACAAAATGATGTCTCTTTCTCTTCCAAAATCAATAAAATAAAGTACAAAACAAAGGAAAATAACAGCATTGATTTAAAAAGGTAAGTGAGTTAATCAGCAAACATCTAATTCCTTTTTTTAATGAAGAATCTTAAGTAATAGCCACCTTTGTATGAAAATGAAGAACAGCTTTAGACTTATACATTTGGAAACTTGTCGCTCTTTAAATTGCCAACTTCAGAAATAGTCACAACAATGCAAAGCTCAACATAAAGTATATATAGTCAACAATATTCTAATAACCATGCATTGTAACAATTGGGCACCAAACCCTTTGGGGTGATCATCTAGCAAGGTATACAAATATCCAATCAATACATTGTATTCCCAAAACCAAAATGATACTGAATGTCAACAGTAACCAAAAAACATTTTTTTAAAGTTGCTCTTCAAAATGAGTTCTCTGAAAATATCAATGTGGCATTTTTTTCCTAAGGCAAATTTATTTGTTTCCAAAATCATTCTCATTGTCTAGTAGTAACAAAAACTTCATCCAAATGTCAACATACAAATGAAAACCAGTAAAATAATAATCCACATTTAAAATGTAAAGGTGGCCCTGACTGTTGTGGCTCACTCAGCTGGTTGTCATTCTGCAAAGTGAAAGGTCACTGGTTTGATAACCAGTCAGGGCACACGCTTGGGTTGATGCAACTGTATTTTCCTTTGACACAGTTCGCTGCGGGTGGTGGACACAGGTTCAAACTGTTTAGTGGACTTCCCTGTTTCTTTGGCCAGTTGGCAGGATACTGTTGCTTCTGCCTAAATTTTGGAGAAACTTGAGTTGTTCCAAGTTCCTTCAGAGTCATCTGTATTTGCACAGAACATTGCGTGATCTACTGATGGGTCTGCTGGGTCCGCTGGGTGGGGTCACCTTCAGTTCCTGGAGTGCAGAAGGGGGTTGATTTGCTTATTCACTTGTTTTGTCAGATGTTGGTGGGCTGTGCAGTTTACTTAGCCATCACGCTAGAGTCTCAGCTTCCTTCTCCTCCTCCTGTGCAGCCAACTGCAATTGTTTTTACAAATTCAAATTAGTATACTAACATTTACTTAATTTCTCATAAAATTTGTTTTCTCATAGAGTTTTATGCATATTTTCAATACACTTATATGGATTGGAGTCTCCCCAAAAAACAATAACAATTCTTGCTTGTGGAAAAATGGCTCAGTTTTCTTTTCCAAAATGTAAGTTTTGTGAGAATGCACATATTGCATTCATTCATGCTTTCTCAATCAGGTATTAATCTTAGAAGTAAAAAGCAGTGTGTGAACTGTTTCTGTGGGAAAATTTTAAGAAATATTCAGTATTAGGATATAACTGTTATTCTAAATACACTGTTCATTATTAAAGTATTAACATATATATTTTCAGATTAATGAATTATTATCTCTGTATTTCAGATTTTCAAAAACCTCAGAGTTGGACAAGAGTTGTGTGCTTGGGAATTTTAAAGGACAAAAGCTCCACATGGAATCATGTTTAGAAGAAAAACGCTATGTTTGTAAGCGCCAGGCCCTGTGGCTGACCTAAATCTGGTCCAATGTCACTCTCACTGTTGCTCAAGAACTCATTTCTAGTTTCTTCAAGAATGCTGCAATTATTTTGTACTACTTTTTAAAGAAATTATTTTGGGACCAGTTTTAGTTTCATGAAGAAGTGAAGAGGCAGGTACTGACATTTCCCATGATCTCCTGCACACAGAGCATCCCCTTTATCAGCATCACTGAGCAGATGGGACCTTGGTTACTGAGAGTGAGTCTGTGCTGACACATCGCAGTCACCTGAAGTCCATACTTTATCTGATGCTTCATCCTTGGTATTGGAGAGTTATTTCAAACCTATATTCATGTTAATTTTTTAAAAATATATATCCAGGTATGTATTATACATTTAAAATCATATTTTGAAGATTAAACCTTTGTCTGAGGTATCATTGGCAAATATGTTTTCCCATACAGTTGGTTGTCTTGCTAATTTAATACTGTTTTCTTTAGCCACCCAGAAGCTTTTTATTTTGATGAGATCCCATTTGTTTATTCTTTCCTTTATATTCCTTGCTTGGATGGAACTGGAAAGCATTATGCTGAGTGAAATAGGCCAGGTGCTGAAAGACAAATACCATATGATCTCACCTCTAACAGGAAGCTAAACAACAAAACAAACAAGCAAGCAGAATAAAAACAAATATACTGAAATAGAGAACAGGGGACAGTGACCAGAGGGGAGAGGGAAGGGAAGTTAAGGGGAAAAAGGGGGAGGGATTTGGAGAAACAAATAGGAAGGACACAGGGACGAGAACTAAGGGGGGTGGAAATGGGAGGGAGGTGGGGAGCAAGGGGTGGGGGAGGCTGGGATGGGAGAAATAGACAAAAAAACTGTACTTGAAAAATAACTAAATAAAATTTTAAAAAATGATTAATTATAATATCAAGAATTTGTTATTTCTAAGTACATAATAACATGAATAATTTCACACACATTTTCAAATTAACTGATTTGTCCTGGCCTTGAGTGTTGCAAATGAAGACTGAACATTTCATGGTGTCACAGTGAAAAAGTCAGTGGAGTCAGTGGAGAGAAAGATGGATTTAAAGATTTATTAACTATTTTTCAGGGATAGCCTACAGAGAGGGGCAGAAGAAAATTACAAAATGTGCCATAGGGTTAATTAAAGAAGATTAGCAAAAGGAAGAACCGTGTGGGAGCCAGGTCTCCCTCCTCAGCAGTGGGTCTCAGACTTTCTGGCAGACAGTGTCACTAGAGAAAACTTTGTGGCAGACACGTTCACTCAGCTGCTCTAGCAGAGGGCAGTGCCCAGTCTGCAGGCTGATGTGGGTGAGGGTGGATCTCACAGTGTGACTGGCAAGTAGGACGACCTCTCTGATGAAGTGTCAGCCTCCCAGGGTAGAGAAGGGGAGCTATGGCTGTGACTGGTCCCAAAACTTGCTGCAGGGTGAACACCACAAGAACTTCCTGCATGCAGGCAGATGTCAGCCACAGCACTGCAGCCAAAGGAGAGAAAACAGCCTGAAACCAGGAAGAGGAGTCCTTTCTCCCAGTGCCCTCTCCTGACGAAATGTCAAGTGAGCTGACTGGAGAGGAGGTTGTAGGATCTGGTGCCATTATCTCAGAAAGGGCAATATGTATAAATTTGGAGCAGAGAGAACTGAATTCGTAATTGGCACTCACTGTTACTATGCAACAACCCCAAGGATTCTGTAGAAAAGCCATGTGACTATCCCTTGCTTGGTCGAACACAAATATCTTCTGAATCTATTTTGGTGCATCATTTTCAAAGATTAGAATCATTTCTGGTAGAGACTGGTGGTTATACTGAGTAATAACCAGTGTCCTTTGGGATTTGTTTATATGTCTGTTTTTTTCCTCTCCTGGATTTCGGATATTTTTGAGGGTACATTGTTTTACTAAATACTGTCTCTCCCTCTCAACACTCCTAATAACTGTGCTTAGAAGCATACTTTGATGAGAAAACGAAAGTGTTAAATAAGCAAGAAAAATTAAAGGATAACACATCCATGTGAAACAAAGTTAGTTATTGACAGAATGTGAAATGAACTTTTGTAATTTGACAATCACTCTGAGATAATTTTACTGTAATTCATTTACAAATGAGAGAGATCCTATACCCACTTATTATTTGCAAAATAAATTAATAGTTTCTACATAATTACCTTTTTGAATGTAGACATCATCTTTATTTTCTGCATATATTCCTAATATTCATATAGAGAAATGTGTAGGTATTCAAAATTAAGTTCATATTATATGTATATTTTAGCTGTATCTACGTGCTGATGTTCTGTTACAGACAACCCACTTTCGGAAGTGTGGTTCTGCGGCCTGCCACCACGGACAAACTCCAGAAGCAGAGGTTTGGTGGAAGAGGAAGAGGTCATTTATTCAAAAGCTACACAATTTAGAAAGAATGGCAGGCTTCTGCCTCACAACCCCTTCCTTACAAAACCCAGAGAAAAATGACTCTGCTACTTTGCCACGCCAGTCCAAGGCTGGGCTGGGAGTTCCCTCATCCAAGGGTAAAGATACCATGCTTGGGAAAATTGCAGGAGGCTGCTGCTGCTGCTGCTACTGCTGAGATGAATGAGGTAGCTTAGCTTGTTCCCACCTCAGGCTTCTCCCAGGAGTTTGTGTGTGGGTGGCCTGGGCTGAAATGCCACAGCCACTTCCTGTGCAGGTGGCTCAGAACCTGCTGCCTGGACACACAGCTTCCAGAGCCAGCAAGTCTGTGCTGCAAATGCTCTGGCCTTCAGGGTGAGCGAGATGGACAGGGGGTTATGTGCATCTTCCATTCCCTCCATTTAAATCTCCCTGCTCAAAATTCTATACATTCTGGGAGGGTTCTGTTCCCCCAGCCAATCCGGGCTGGTGAACAAAAATGTATTTTTTATGGTTGAATGTTAATTCATTGTGTGTGTATAATACTCTGTAAAATCAATTTATCCATTGAAAACCCTTAGTTTGCTTTCATATATTAATTGTGGTGAATAATGATTCAATGATCCTCAGAGTACAGACATCTCTTCAAAATAATCGTGTCATTTTTTTTGGATATGTACCCAGAAGTGGGATTGCTGGACCATATGGTACTTTCAAGTATAACTTACCAATGATGGATAAACATTTCCTCTTTTCTTTTTTTTCCACATTTTTTATTGTTGTTAAAGTACAGTTGTCTCAGTTTTCCCCTACCACTCCCCACCACACCAGCCATCACCACTTCCCACCCGTGATCCTACCCCCCATTGGTTTTGTCCATGTGTCCTTTATACATGTTCCTGAAAACCCTTCCCCTTATTTTCCCCCATTATCTCCTCCTACCTCCCTTCTGGTTACCATCAGTTTGTTCTTAATTTCAATGTCTCTGGTTATATTTTGCTTGTTTGTTTGTTTTGTTGGTTAGGTTCCACTTATAGGTGAGATTATATGGTATTTATCTTTCACTGCCTGGCTTATTTCACTTAGGACAATGCTCACCAGCTCCATCCATGCTGTTGTGATGGGTAGGAGCTCCTTCTTTCTTTCTGTTATGTAGAATTCCATTGTGTAAATGTATCATAGTTTTTTAATCCATTCATTTACTGATGGGCACTTAGGTTGCTTCCAGCACTTGGCTATCATAAATTATACTGCTATGAACACTGGGGTGCATAAATTTTTTTGAATCGGCTTTTCAAGATTCTGAGGGTATAATCCCAGCAGTGGAATTGCTGGGTCAGAAGGTAGTTCCATGTTTAATTTTCTGAGGAAATTCCATACTGTTTTCCACAGTGGCTGCACCAATCTGCTTTCCCACCAAGAGTGTACTAGGGGTTTCTTTTCTCCACAACATTGCCAGCACTTGCTTGTTGATTTGTTTATGATGGCCATTTTGATTGGTGTGAAGTGCTATCTCATTGTGGTTTTAATTTTCATCTCTCTGATGCTAGCGATGTTGAGGTTCTTTTCATGTGTCTCTGGGCCCATCATATGTCCTCCTTGGAGAAGTGTCTATTCAAGTCCCATGACCATTTTTAATTGGGTTCTTTATGATCCTGGACTAGAGTCCTGTGAGTTCTTTATATATTTTGGAGATCAAACCCTTGTCCAAGTAAATATGTCATTGGTAAATATGTTTTTCTGTACAATTGGTTATCTTTTCATTTTAATGCCAGTTTCTTTAGCCATGCACACACAAAAATAAACTCAAGGTGGATAAAAGACTTAAATATAAGTCACAACACCATAAAAGTCCTAGAGTAGAACATAGGTAGGAAAATCTCAAATATTACATGCAGGAATTTTTTTTTACCAATATGTCCCCTAGAGCAAGAGATATAAAGGAACAAATAAAAATGGGACCTCATCGAAATAAAAAGCTTCTGCAGAGCTAAAGAAATTTACACTAAATTCAAAACCATACAAATATTTTCAAATTTTTGGTTATTGACTTTTACTATAGGTCAACTGAAGTCACAGAATTTTCTGTGAAGCTGGAAATGCTCTATATCTCTGCTTAAACATGCCTAACATAACTGAGGAACCAATGTTATTTTTTTAAATTTTTAATTAATTAAACATTAAAATTGAAGAGTCATACTTCAAGTGCTCATTTGCCAAACTTGCTTGGTGTCTGCTGTAGTTACACTACATTTCTATTTATATACTTGAAAATATGAGTATATAGTATATTTTGGACACTTCCAATCAAGATGGCAGCATAGGTAGATATGGTTTGCCTCTTCTCACAACCAAAACAAAATTATAACTAAAATATAGAACAACCATCACTCAGAACTGACAGAAATCAAATTGAATGGAAGTCTGACACTATGGAATTAAAGAAATCACATCCATCCAGACTGGTAAGAGGGACACAGATGGAGAATGGGCTGGTCCCACATCCATGTGTGGTGGATAAAAATTCTGGAGGGATGTCTTGGTAATGAGGAGTTCCAGACCCACACTAGGACCCCTGACTCAGTGTTCCAGTACCGGGAGGATAAGTCACCACAACTTCTGGCTTTAAAATCAGTGGTGATTGAGCTGGTGGAAGAAACTTCAGGAGCCCCAAGCAATTCCTCTTAAAGAACCCACCCACGAATTCATGTCAGACTCACTTCCTCTGAGCTCCAGAGTCAGGGTGGGAGCTTGAGGGACACCAGTGGTGTGTACGGGGAGGCTGAAGTTCTGGCATGAAAGTAAGCAGGGGCCACTGTACCTTTTCCAGGCACTCCTCCCACAGAGCAGGCCTACTTGTGCCATTTCTAAGGTTCCACCAACCTGGCTAACAAGTCTGACCCACCTTGGATATACCCAGAGCCTCTGCCCCAACCAATTTACTGGCCCACCACAGCCATTTTTCCATATTAATGAGTGGGCTTGGTTCATGCTCCACAATTCCTTCATCCTCTCAAACAAGGAGCAACTGGCCTCACTGAGCCTCAGGCCAGAAACTAGCAGCCTAGATTTATAGCCTGACTTCACCCGGAAATCTTCAAGCCCAGCACAAGTAGCAGCCAACTCAGATTGCTTTATAACTCAGACAGGGTGTCCCCAGGCTAAACACAGGCAAGGGCTGACCTTGGCCTATACCACCTGGGACACTTCAGGGGCCAGTACACCCACTTCAGAGGACTACCATCCTGCCCCTGAACAGCTGATCCCTCATGGAGGGTGGAGGGTGGTCGTAAATGGTCACAGCCAGTCCTT